CTGAGGTCAAGGACAGGGAATCTCAGAGAGATCTAACATCAGAACAAATAGTTTCTGTCCTTTAAAGAACTTGGCTTAAAGCAAACCCTGCTGTCAATATTTTTTAAGCCATTTCTCAGTATATTCCTGTTCTCATAGGGGCCATGCATCCACTGATAGGGGTTCAAGCAACTGCAAAATCACAAAGGGATTTGGTTAGAAGGAAAGGGGGCATGTAGAATTTTTTTCCAAAAGGACCTCTAGAGAGCTTCTGTCAAAAGAAGGACTATTGCTAACACCAGATCAGGTCGCTAAAAGAAAGTGCTTCAGCATCAAGCTCTACATTCACTTTGATGAAATCTAGAAAACAATAGCAGGAACTGTACATTCATAAATCTTTATCCCGAGGAGGCCAAAATTATTTCTTCACAATCAAGTTCATGTGTCACCAAAGCACAACCTGAAAGGTTTGTCAGATCTAGAAATAACAGGACTTTTCTAGGTGGAAACTCATTCATCGTTCCTCCTACCCTTTCTCTTTACAGGGAAGGCAAGATAAATCTGCTCTACATGAGCTTCCCTACCCCCATCAGAAAGGAAGTGTTACAGTGAGAAATGATGCCTCTTATTCAACAAAAACTGCTGCTTTCTTAGCCAGCCAGTGTTAATGTAGCTGCTTGTTACATATAAAAATGGGACAGGATGCACAAATCAAAACAGTCAGACAGGCGTGAAAGAGAGAGAAGAAACACGGAAGAAACAAACCAAATCAAAACATGGAATAGCCATCCTGGCAGGAAAAGAGCTGAGTGTAAGAGCAGCTCGCCTGCTTCCTGACTCTCATAAAGTCAGCAGGATATACCAGTGTACTATATACATTTAATGTACAACATAAAAGAAAATTTTCTGGGAAGGTATTGTTTATTTCAATGTTTTAAATGCATTTGGATCCCTGATTTCACTGACAAAAAAAAAAAAAATCTTCATTTATATCTTCCATGGCAGTTCAGAGCAGGGTTTTCCTAGAATGTACTTACATGCTCTGAGAGCCAGAGTGCTATTTAAAAAAACCCCAAAATCTAACAACCAACAACAACTATTCACAGAATGATTCCTGAATTTTCATACCAGATTTCACTTTGTGTTAACTCCTGGCTTTGCAGGGTTTTCTGGGTTTTTTTGAGAGTTCCATTTTATCTTCCTGATTTACCCCATTCATAGCCAAAAAAACCACTTTATCCTGTATATTTATTAACTTCTTCACAAATCTACACTGGCAGAAAAAATGCACCAAACAACAAAACCCACACCACTGTGTACTTGTAATACTTTCAGGAATCTCCATTTTTAAGGAATCATCAAGGTATTTTGATAGTTAAAGATGCTCTGTTTTGGTATTTGTAATACTATGTAGGGTGCATAATTTCCATAGGTTCCTGCTGCAAACACTTTCACTAGTTTGCATTATTTTTCTGTTGAACCACCAAGTGATACTGTACACTGGGTTCACTAATATCCTTAATCACCCCTTACTAGTGTTACAAATCAAACCAGAATTTGATCTGCTATCTGCATTGCAAATACAACCATTTTACGTATCTGTTTGTTACATTGTGAGGTTTTTCCCTGTACTGAATATTATGTCAAACCATAAATGGGAGACCAAAGCTTTCAAAAATATCAATTTAATGTGCTAAGCTACTACAAAATGTCATCAATTTACTGCATTTGCAGGATCTGCCTGACAAAAATTATGGTTCTTTTTTAAAAATAGGTACAGTGTATACTGCATACTGCCACTAAGAAATACCAGTAATAATCAGATTTAGAAAAAATTGCTGAATACCATGCTACCCATCACAGAATTACAAAATGCACTGCCATGAGAAGTTAGCCACATTTTCTTGCCTTATGTCAGTGTAATCTCACTAAACTTGATATTTCTCTCACATTTGTCTTTAGCACATTGTTCTGATCATAGTTTCATCATTCTTCAAGCCACTTAAAAAGCATTACACATCTAAGATCAGAGTACAGTCATTACTCTACAGCTTCAACATCTATTCATGTATAATTCAACAACTTTTTCTCTGAATTAGCTTCTTATTCTTAGGATCTGGTCTAAATGTTCTTTTTTCTTAAAACACAAAGAACTTGGCTATGCTTAGAAGGGCAATATTCACTACAGCTAAATATTAACAGAAACCTTTAAAATGCTATTTTAGTATGTAAAGTGAATTCACCCCTCAGCATTTGTCCTGCTTGTTTACAGGACATACAAAGGTTACAGTCAGAGTGGAGACTGAAGCAATTGCAAAGATATAAGCAGAACCTAAAATTTCCCAAGATTTGGTCTAATTACCAATGAACTCCCTCCAACAAAATCTCTTGTGCCAAAAAATGGCATGAATCCACTTACCCTTCATCCATTTTCATTAGTTAGAGCTGAAGTTATCAGCAAATCCATTCAATACTATTATAAAATCTATTCTTAAAATTCACATTTAAAAGTAACTCAAAAATTGATACAAGTTCCTCTGTAGGGTTCTGTTACCACTTGCATTTTCTTCAATCCCAAGTACAAAATCAGCTATGTCTGCAGTGGACTTATCAGTAAAATCCAATCGGAATTTTTAAGACGCATTTGGTTTTACTTTTTCATCCAATAAAAAAATATTTTGGAGCTTTGATAAGAATGGAAGACTGGAAATCCAGTTATAATCCCCTGCAAACACTCCAAGTTTATAACACTGTCAGAGGTAAACAAGATATTATTCCAAGGGTGACATTATTCATGAATGAACAGTAAAACATCAGTGTAGGGAAAAAGCATATGAGCTGGATGAGAAGGTGTTATGTGCATGCTCTGAACGTAATTTAACTGACTTTCATGTGTTACTAATCATCAACATAAACTTCAGGAGAGGAGATACTCAATACTTCCTTTAGTATAATTAATGAATAACGCCTCCACTCTCAGGAAGCATACATAAGATGCAACTGATGGGCAAATACTGGAGGCCAGGGAAGAGCACACATAGCATAATGGGATGAGCAATAAGAATTGCAGCAGAAGCTGCATTTCTAGATTTCTAGAGCTAACAATATTAGTTTCCAACACATGGACCAGTATCAGCAAGCAAAAGTTCTCAGCCTACATAAAGTGACATTACTTTTACTGACACGACTTGCTTTTATTAATATATGCCAACATTTTCCTGGTTGTGGAATTTTTCAGAAAATGAATAAAAATATTATTGGCATGTGAGAAAAAATACCAGGTGTTACCTGCTGTGAGATAATGGAAAACTGTGCAGCTCCTTCACAGCAAACACACTCTGCTCGTGGGCTAACTCACCTACATCTGGTGGAGCTGCCCAACAAACACAGCCCCAGACACACATCATTGGGCTCTGCAGAGCAACCCAGTGAGTGTTCCTTGCTATGTGCCTCACTAGGCCTTGGAATGTTTTAGCCAAGAGCTCATAAGAAAACTGCCCAGAACACATATGTCTGTATACAGACAGTGGTCCTATATAAGGCACATCTGTCACATCAAACCTACTGTAACTACCAGCACAGTACCTTCAGTTATGAACATAGCACAGACACAGACACTCCATAAGGGCAAAAGAGACATTATGTGAGATGAAACAGAGCCTCAAGGCTATGCCATAACCATGATTTAAGTATTAGTTTGCATAATGCTCCTTTACAGCCTAAACCAGGTTTTCTGCTAAAATAGTAAAAGAATTTTTACTCTTGAGCAAGATGTACTTCAAAATAAAATCTGGCATTTGTATTACTATGTTGGAATGTCATTACCTTTTACATTAAATTGGGAAACATTAGCTCTCTGTTCCATTTATTTTGCCAACAGTTTTTACATTCAGCTAATTTTACCTTTGACTTTTCCTTATTATTTTAAGCCCAGGTACTGGCACACACCATCTTTTTTCAAATGTATGAATAAAGTCTTTAGCTCAGGGCCAGACTCTAAAGCCTGTCTAACCTAGGGCTTTCCTTGCAGTCAGAGGGACTACAGACAGAGAGATACTGTAGATTCAGATCTCAAGAATCAAGCTGCAATACGTAAAGGATTTTACTAAGGTAGGCTCAAGTCCTGCAAAATCCCTATAGATAAGCCCCAATACTCTGACCTCAATAATTAACCTTATTAGTCACTGCTATCTTTAAACAGACTTGTCAAGGATATACACTAAGCAACAATGGAGACACTGTTGGACATGCACAACACAGGAATACAGGGCAGGATACTGTTACAGTGGCTTTATTCAAGAACTGCAAATTATTGGGAAGTTATTTCATTTCATTAGTCAGTCACCACCAAATAAAAAGTACTGAATGTGGCATAACAACCTCTCTCTCTTTTTGTGAGTGGGCATATATATCCATAAAATTTGAATATCAGTAGCCTTTTGTAACTACCAGTAGTGTATTTTTTATTTTACCTAATCATACACAAAATCATTGCAGAAAAACACCTCAGGAGGGATAGAGTAACACTCAAGTAACAACTTGAAAACCCCCCTTGAGGCTGTTATCTCAATTTTGCTGAACTGATTTTCAAAATGTCCACTTAAATTCTAATTTACAAGAGTATGGACAGAAGTGGCTGCAATTTAAGGCTGTTCCTCTGAATTACATTACTTGTAGATAATCTAAAAAACCACACTGTTGTAAGATGGTTCTCATTTCTTTAACAACTCCTTCAACAAGGAAAACACCAGCATCCTTCCATCAGTACTTTCTTCCTCCTCTGCAATTTGAACAAACACTGTCCTTTGGAAAAGACTGCATTTACAAATTTTAGTCCTTCACTCCCAGGTTGTACATGCCCAGAAAAGACCAAGTCACACACATTTTCCCATCTCATAAAAATTTCATGAACTTACTTTTAGACAATTTTCAGATTTTCAAAGAAATTAAAAGAAAAAAAAGAGAGAATTGACTGCAAAAGAATTAATTTAACATCTGACATTCAGCTGCATGCAGCTAACCTTTGTGTTTCCCTTTTTTCTCCTTTCTGGTGCTGCTAGTCTGACAGCTTGCAGCTGCTCCCTTGGTTTTTTTAGTTGGTTTCGGAGCTTGGGCGTCCACTACCACCTTTACATCTTCCTGTTCGGCCTCCTGCACTGCTTCAGAGATTCAGGGTACCCCACCAAAGAGAAAAACAGAGAGGAGAGAGAAACAAAGAGAAAGAGAGACAAGAGAGAAAGAATTGAGAACTCTGTGAAGGCATAAAAGAGAAAGCAGACATAGCAGAGTTTGGTATTTCAGACGATTCATGCAGTGAGGAAAGTCAGATAAACAAGAATTTGCAAAGCTACAGTAAAAACCTGAAAGTGTTAAGTTAGTTGGGATATATTTCCTCACTTCTTTTCCTCCTCCCAATAACATATCAGCTCCTAACTTTCAGGCTAAAAGTGACATCAGAATATTAATGTGTTGCTGAGCTATTGTAGGAAGCACTTTTCCTCATAGTAAAGCTCTGCCAGGCTGATCATCAACAGTGGCAGCACGAAGGCAGAAAAATTTTATTTAGGTTTTGTAGCATCTATGCTTAGAGTTACATCCTAACTCTGTAAACAAGGAATCATCTGCAGGTTACCTTCAAAACACATCTTGCACAATTGTGTAACACAGCATGATGAGTAGATTGGCCATACATTTTAGAGTAAAACTATATCCAAGCTGAATTTAAAAACTCTTCCTACTTTGTAACATACACAAATTAATTCCTTAGAAGTCTCTACATAACATGCATGGCATAAACTGTGAATGTCACATAATTCGTGCAATGCTAGTTGTTTTCAAAGTAAAAAGAGGCTTTATCATTTTCCTAAAAGCATTACACACTTTGAGGTCAATATTTGCATCCGTGAAAGTAACACACACACCATAACTCTTTCTTCTGGCCAGGCCAAGCCTTGAAGTTAAATAAATATCACAACTGCTTTTGTGAAATACATAGAGGCATCTTCAAAGTTCACATGCCAAACTGTAGGTGGGCACTAAGACATTTTCAGGTTGGCTGCTGGTCACTGTTAAGGGCTAAGCCCCACTGGCTTCATGTGGTGACTGCGGTTTATCTCCCTGGCATTTGGACCTCCCATATTTTCTTTTTCCCAAAACTAAACCGCTTTCTTTAAAAGGATTAAAAAAAAAAATCCCCTAAGGACCCTTACTGGAAAGAACTGGTTGCCCCTGAAATTACTTCAAAAATATCCTGACAAACTTCATAACCCCCCAAAAGACTAGATGATTCCCAATGACGTATGGACTGCCACTAATCTCTCTTTGAAGGGGAAAATCCTCCCTAGGCTTCTGGTCTGTGAAGCAACTCTCCTCTTCACCAAATCCTTCATGTGCATGAATAGCAACTGAAGCACCAAGGAGATTCTCAGAGGAGAAAGATGAGACGGATTTAGTCATGTCTGTGTAGACTGTAGCTCACAAACCCACAGTCACCCTCCCCAGCACAGCAATCTGTTATGAATAGCATTACATTCACAACACAATGAGCACCTGAGGCACTCAATAAACACATGCTCCTTTTCTCATTACGCAGAGGAAGAGTTCAAGTTTTGTAGAGAATATACATTCTATTAGTAGAGGAGTGATTAAAAGCCCAGAGAAACAGCTTGTCACTGCCCAACTTCTCATTCCCATCTATCACTTACCAATCACAGGACTGCAGTCCCTTTGCTGAGTGTAAAGGAGCACTGGAAATGAGTAAAACAATCAAAGGAGTGAGTGCATAGGATGCCAGAGAAAATGGCACATAAAAGACAGAACATTGGGTCCTATTTCCACAGGCATGGCGGCCTCAGACTAAGCAGGGAACCAGAGTCCCCACTCCACAGTCTTTAAATAGGTGTGATTTGCCAACCCAGCATCTATGCTATATTTGTAGCTCAGCCTCTCTTTAAAACTAGGCTGTGTTCTTTTGTTTTGAAGATAATAATCCATGTTACAATTACATTCAGTACTTTAAAAATAACCTATATTAAATGGCCAGACTGTTCTCTAAATCATTTTAAATCTGGGCACATTCATTCACTCAGAAGAAGGATCATTTACTTGGTCCAAAGCAATGATTAATCAGCAAAGGATGAAACTTTCTGACATTGTTAATTCCAAAGTTAAAGACTTATCTTCACTGTCTTGCTTAACCATCCTTTGATCTAACAAGTAAAAGCCTGAAGTTTTTTTAATTACTTTTGTCTTACAATTTTTAGCAAGAGACTAACAATATCTGATGATAAGCACAGCGAGGGAGCTCCAAAGGACAGAGAAGGAAATATTTCCAGTGCTTTACTCTGTAAGGCAGAGAACAGGATTTCAGTCCAGTAGCCATTTTGAGCATATACCTACACTGCTGTCTCTGGTAAACAGACACAAGTGGTGGAGGCTGCAAAATAAGATTTAGGCCATAAACTTGAAGATACTGCAGCTGGTTCATGAAAGGGATTGGCACAGAATGTCCTGTTTCTAAAGGATACATTTCTAAGCATTACCATTACATTTAAATGTAATACTAAATCCAAATCTGATCTCAACACACCATCTTCACAACAAAACCATCTTATTCTTAGCTATTAGCTATTTAGTAAATAGTAGATACACTCACTCATGTTTTCTCTTGTGTTATCTCTCTAGATACCAAATAAAGCATTTAATTTGCTTTCTGGACAAATTCAGTTCAGGACAGCCTGAGTTCCAGGACAGTTGGTTATATACTTGCATTTAAGCACAGGGAAAGCACTGCTCTCCCCTGCCCACAAGTGCCAACCTCCCCAGACATCTCATGTGTAAGTGCTGCCCACTGCGATGTGGTGGGAAGGAGAGGTTTATGCAGCACAGCAGTTCCTGACAGCAGGCCAGCCAGGACTTGGATCCTTGCAGAGGAGTGGGCAACAGGCTATTTTAGAAGCCTGCTGACCCACCTATGCTGTGAACCTACCCTGTTCAGTGGGTCCAAAGGCTTAGATGTAGAGCAAAGTAAAAATACTGCTTTCCTTTTCCAGAGCTTTCTCCTGCCCTGGAGAGTTGGAAGAATGACCATTTCTAAACCCCTCTGCAGCTGGTCATTAGCATGTGGAGCTTTGAACTTCTCAAACCAGCACTTCTAGTCTGCCTTTGTGGAGATGAAGCAATTCACAGAGGCAATGTTTATCCCCAACCATGATGTCAGGAGATCAAATGTCTTCCCCTCTGCCCTTTAGTACATCTTTGGATCACTAAGTAACAGTATGACAAGAATTTCCCTTCTCAGCAGGATGGGAACATTGAGGCAAACTCTAACCTGCATTCTCCATGGGCTCTAGATAGCCCCATAAAACAATTTACAGTTCCCTGCAAGAAAGCCTAAATAAGGAAAATGAGATAAACTGGCCTCCCTAGATAATATTCACCGATACAACAATATGATTATGTCCTTAGCTGGATGTTGAAAAGTTGAAACAATGACAGGCAGTACCACAGGATAAATAAAGAACCTTAAATGCAGCTATTTGGAGATGAAGTTTCAAAGACTGTCACTCAAAAATGCATTAATTTCAGTGCAAATAGAAATTTAGGCAGTTTTAAAAACCCCTATTGATAGTTATCTTAAATAACAAGAGACTACATTTGAAAATCTAGCCCAATATTCCATATGTCCCACCCCAGATTATTAAAATCTCTACTTAAAAAAACCAGAGATTTTCCTTTTCTATATGAATTATTTGTTTGTAGTAGAATTTGCATTTAGACAAGAAAAAAATGGAGGAGCAAGTGCTGTAGTGAGTCAGTATTCCAAGCAGAAAAATCCACTGGACTCTCAGATCTGATGTTTCATTCTCATTTGAACTTACAAATTGTAAAAAGTAGTTTTGAGATAAATGCCAAGCTTACAAATAAAACTACTACATGATTTTTAATTTCAGTGTTATTAATCCATGTTCATTAAATCAAGTACTGACTACTGCCCTCCATACAGTATTAGAGAAAAAAAATACTTGTGGAGAGACAGAAAGGAGCACAGATTGGGATATTTATTCAGGATCTGAGATGAAAAGAAAAGAGGAGCAAACAACATAGTTTATTAATAATAGTCTATTAACATAATACAAGGTGAGTATAGAAGAGCTTCCTCAAAGCAGAGAAGTGCAGTGTCCCAGCTTTGCCTTGCATCACCAATGCCCTAAGTGCTAAAAGGGGAAAAAAGAAGCCTCTCCATGAGCCTGTTCTGTGTTGGACAACACTGCATGTTACAGGAATAAAGCTACAACACACAATCAAATAAAAGGATGCATTTCGTAAGCACATGAGTAAACTATGTTGCAGACAACTCAATATTTTTTTCAATTCTATAAGCTATCCATACATATTTATATGAGTGAATGAAAAGGAAAAACATGTTTTTTCATCTGGCCTTCACAATGAGAAGTTCACACAGGAAATTAGTTTCAAAGGAGCATGAATGAAAATGCAGATTTTTTTTTTCCATTTGCATGACCATTTTTCTTGATGTGAGTGCTTGCACATTCATGATCTTAGAAGAAGAAAAAAAAATCTATGAATCGTAACTTACAAATCTCTATCACATAAAAATGCCAAATGCTAAAAAAAAAGTGGTTTTGATCAGTGCATTATGTGAAGAATAAGTAATTGAAAAATCACAAAAAGTAAAAAAATTATAAAATTGTGCAGTCTCTCTGGAAAACACCTTAAGCAGAAAGAGGCTGAACCAGGTAATGAGGTATGTGAGACAAATCGCTGGCCCTACTGCATAAGGCAGATACTCATTCTATTTACCAATGTCCTCTCAACAGTAAAAGTGAAACCCAGAATAAGTACCATGCAATGAAAGATAAACTACAGTCCAGTCAGCGTGTACCTTAACAAATCAATGAAAATTGGTAGTCCTTTTCTTACTATTGCCTGAGATGCTCTTGTGTATTACTGTAAGAATGGCTTGCTGCTTTACTTTGTAAAGTTCTAGCCTTAGTCAATGTTGCTGCTTATTTGGGCTGTCGTTCATTATTACTTTATTTAATCAACTTAGATTCTGAACTGGTCTAGTATTTCTATAATCATCTAAAAGACACTGGATTCTACTAGAAATATTCTGAAGATGAGCAAATCCACT